GTACTACTGACTTCTATCACTTTATTGAAAGGAACAGTTAATGATTAATTATTTCATTAGTCTTGCTTGTCTCTATTTGTTTTCCTGAGAAACCACTTTGAAGATATCAATATGTAATACAGCAACCATTGTTAATTTCCTGTCACCTTGTCTGTAATTCAGGATTGCTTCTGTTGTTCTTGTGCTATTTTGTAAATGGATGTCTGTTTGTTAATATGTGCTCGTTCTTCTGTTTTTAAAATAAAATAAAAATAAAGAAACACGTCACAATATGTATTAATTTCAGAAAGTAGTGTGTTTTACACTGTTTCATATTTTCAACAAACATTTACTAGCTCCTAAACACAGTAAGTGTGTTTGACACGTACACAAATATTTAAATAAAATGTTCCTTGTCCTCAAGGTTATATCAATGTAATTAAAAAGATAAAACAACATGTAAGTACATAAATGCAATTCAGTATTATACATATAAAGTGAAACCTGAAAATATGCAAGATGACTAATATCAGTTTCTCAAGCATATAATGAAAAACATACAGACAGAAACACTATATAATAAAAGTTCTGCATCATAGTAGCAATAACACCAGTAGTGGTAGTGTAAATGTATTAAACCCTCAATGCTTATTTTATTTACTCTCCCTAACACTATGAGGTATGCATTATCATTCTCCCAACTGTACAAGTTAAACACTGAGGAAGCATATGATTAATTAAAATGTCTAGCAAAACGTTTTAGTAAATCATGATTCTGAATCTTGAACCCCAGGTTTTTTGACTCAAGAATTGGTTCTCTTGAGTACTGCACTATCGGTGATGTCTCAGGTGTCTTCTGTGTTGTGGGAGAGGGAAAGACAGTAATATATTTGAAAAGTTAAGAGTTACATTTGGGAAACTGCAAGAGGTTAAAAAGGTTAGAAGAACTTCTAAAGCAAAACTAGGGGAACAGCACACCATGAGGCTAAGCAAGCAGGGGGAAATCTAATTGTGATTGGCCTTCATTGTATGCAATGACCTTCTGTCTTAGAATCCAGGGGGTGAACACTGACCAGAGGAAGCAATTGGTTAGCGTGAGGTAAGCAAAAGCAAACAATTATACGTGATGCCAGACTCATGGCTTACCCTGTGGGCGGGCGGTAGTATCACTAACTGAAGAGGAATGTGGAAAAGAAAATGGTTTCTGAACCCAAAAGATGATCAGACTGAGTTACCCTGCCAGTGAGACCTACGGGAGAAGTGCTGGGAAGCAGAAGGTACACGAGTTAAACTTTTCGCAGCACACTGAGCTCAGAAACACAGGTCATCCTGAGGGTCCTGCGTGTGATTTACCTAAATGCAGATTTGAACCATGGGTGTTATTAAACCACTTCTCCAAGAAGAACATATAGCAGGAGAAGTGGGACAAGAATCAGGACCTGAGAAATATGATCAGACTAGCATAGTAGCAGGTCAGAGTCTCTATTACAAGCTTTCACATTGTTTATATACTATTTTAAATTATGATCATTGGTGCACATTTGCAGTTATTGACATCTTATTTGAATAATATCCTTCCCTTCATGGACTAAAAGGCCCAGGAGAGCAGAGCTTTCACAAACTATCGCATCCTAAGTGGCTATTGTGATGTCGACACATGGTAGGTACTCAGTACTGAATGATTACACCAGAAGAGAAAACAGATACACTCTCCAGAAATGAGGAGAGAGAAGCAGAAGAGAATCCTCAAAGGATTCCAAGGCTTCAAGACTAGAAAATGCCATGTAAACAGAAACTAATCTCTGAATCATTACCGTAATACAAGGAGGAACACTCTAAGAGCAGAAATTCTTAAGAGAGTAGAGTGAGATAAAACTTAAAAAGAGCTGAGTAAAGTAAGAAAAAAAATAAGAGAAAACGAGAAATACAACACGAGATCTGTGTCCCCACTGGAAGCATACATGGAGGAATAACTCGCATAAACTGGTACTGCTGTATTTTTGGAAGACTTGAAGAGCTTCACCAAAAATACACAGGCAAGGAAAGGTACTAAAGTGCTGAAAATACCTAGAATAAAAAATAGATATCCAGCATAACAATCATAGATATTTCTTAAAACAAGCAAATTAATTAAATTGAAGCAGTATCAAATATAATTAATAAATTAGCACCTAAACCTACAGATTTTGCCACACATGGTTAAATAAGGGGTACTATACAGAAGCAACATCTCTGAAAATTTGGAGAGAAATAGAAAGTAAAGAATAGAGAAACAATGACATAAAAATGCATAGGAAATGTAAAATTTGAAATCCAAATATACATTCTGTGGGGTGAATAATTTTTATAAAATAGCTCAGATCGTACATATATTTAAACATATATAATCATAGCAGATAAATACTACTTTTGCAACTATTTCTACGGAATTTTACAATGTGTCAGCCTATAGGGCTGGGCTATAGCTCAACTCCAGAACACACCCCTATGTGTGAAGGCCTGGTTTTCATCCCAAACACTGAGAAAAAAGTCAGTCTGTAAGGAAAAGATTCTGAAGGTTGAATATATCATTTACTGGCATTATTCCTTATTTTTAATTATTCAAGGAAATGTGCCTAGGAGAACTGATAAAGACAAACCAGCATAACTTTATGGTTTTATGGTAGGCAGATAAGAGTCACCGGGATGCCTGGTTTCCTCTTCCTTCTGTGTGTTGTAGATAGAGTAATAGCCACCCAGTGGCTGTATCTCGAAGACATTTGGTTATCCAGCAAAGAGGAATTAATGATGCAGGTGGAATTATAATTGCTCATCAGATGAGCTCAAGATAAGGGTATTATTGTGGATAATCTGGGTGAGTTCAATATGGTCATGTGATTAACTGTAAGTGAAATAGAGAGGATGGAAGTTCCAAGTTAGAGAAACACTTAAAGATGATACATTGCTGACAACGAAGGTGAGTGGGAGCCACAACCCATGGTAGGAAAGGGAGGAAAATGGATTCTCCCCAAGAGCTTCCGGAAGGAATCCAACGCTGCCAGCACCTTGATTTCACCTGCTGAGTCCTGTGTCTGCCAGAACTGTAAAATAATGCGCTAGTGTTGCTTTTGCACTACTCTGTATAATTTATTACAACAGTAATAGGAAGAAAAGCATGATTACATTAAAGCAGGTGCATGGATAAAATTCCTAAAGCAGATAACTCTTAGGGGAGAAGCCTGCCTGCTCCTCACACAGAAATCATGAAAAGGGATGAGAGGCTCACAGAGGTAAGGCTATTCTAGAAAATTAAATGATTTATAATACATGATGAAGTCAAGGAGTGAAAACAGGTGCTTTCAGAACAAGTTCACTTTGATGATCAGTCCATATGCTGTTGTACAAGGACTTATCTAAGGTTAAACTTTACATTAGGGGATGGATCTCCTTTCAGTTATAAACTGAAATTACTGTTCAGGTTAGACCACAGCCACATTGGACGTGCTATAGGACTACCTCCAAAATCTTGGCCAAGACAGCTAATATTTGAAGGAGGAATTCTGACGTATAGAAAAATATTTATTCGTCAAGAAATTTATTCTTCAACATATTCCTCCAACCTCATCAACATATTAAAGGGCCTATCTACTGGGACCCTCCAATGAATTGCTTTTATTAGATAATGCTTACTATGTTATGATATAGGGAAATCTTTTTTTGGTTAAGCAGATATCAAAGTTATAATTAGTAGATATATTCCATGACCCTCATACAAAATTTTGCACAATAATTTTTCTAGAATGTCCAGGAATAAAGGTTGTTTCATCTAGTGTAGGCTTGTTACAACACCATGAATGTTAAACAACTCCACATACTCTGTTAGCCCAGTATAGCACTCAGTAATGTTTAATAACATTAAATGTTCCTCCAGAGTTGTGTTGGTTTTTGTGCATCCCGCTCATCCTTTGTTTCACGGTTTCTAATTTTAACTGCTTATTCATTTCATCAAAAATATATTTCTGCACTTCTGCTCTAAGCCAAGCACCCTTCTAGGTATTGGGTATACAATAGAGAAGAAGAAACTGATACAACTCCCTGGTCATATGGAATTTACATGGCAGCAGGGTGAGGACTGAAATACATATGTAAGGTATATATTACGTAGATAGTTGTAAAGCTATGGGGAAAGACAAAGGTAGAGAAAGAGGTCCAGACACACAGAGACTGAACGGTGTTGAGCCGTGGTAGAAAACCGGAAAGTGACAACAGGAATAAGCCAGTAGGACAAGCCTGGAGAAAAGAGGAGGGGTGAGAGGAGACGAGGAGCCTGGGGTCTTCCACTCTGAGACAGAAAGGCAATAGGGGCCTCGACAGAGAAGTAACATGGTAAGACAGGAGATGGGGAGAAGTTACCTGGCTGTGGGGTTGAAAACAATCCACGTGGACAATCCAGAGTGAAATTGGTTGCATGTCAAGGCAGTTTAAATCACACAGAAGGATGAGATCAATAAAATGGACAAGACTTTAAAATAACTAATGAAAAGTAATAGAAAATTTAAGATCTACTAAGACTTGAAAGAGAAAATAGCAGAGATTCAGGATGATACTAGATATCTCAGCAGTACCGATGCTAGAAAAAAATGGAAGAATGCCTTCAAAATTCTGGAGGAGTTTTCTTTTTGCAAACTTATATCCTAAACCCAACCTGAAGGAAGAATAAAAGATGCTTTATATGTTAGCACAGTCTTGCAGCCTTTCCTGGGAGGCAGCTACAGAATGTGCTGTAGCAAAACAAGAGAACAAATCTGGGAAGTAAAAAGCGTGAAACTCAGGAAATGAAAACTGAATCAAAAGTGTGAAGAAAACCCACCACGTGACAGCAAAGAGCAATGGCAGTGAATCCAAATTCACACAGGAGGATTTGCCCCAGAGCTCCAGGGACACCTTTGTAGGAAAAATACAGACTTGATGACTAGATAATACGGTAAGTGAAACATATAAAACATAAACATATGAAAAATAAGGTTTACACTTGAAAGAAATTAAGTAAATAAAAGCAGGAAATTTATTTACTGCAACATTACGCTTTTTAACAAACAGTATTTACATTGTTATAATCATGTAATTACAAGTTACCTGTTTAACTAAAATTAGTGCCAGAACTGTAGTAGGAAGAGGGGAGAACACTTAATACCTACTCTGAGCAAGTTTTGAGTACATAATATACTGTATTAACAGTAACCATCATGGTACACAATTAATGGACTTAGTCAACAAAATAGGTGAGGCAATTTTGCAAAATGCATGCAAATTTCAAAACATCAAATTCTATACCACAAATATATACAATTTTGTCAACTTAAAATTTTTTTTAATTAAAAAGGATAAGCAAATTGGGGTACAACTACTAAAAAAATAAACATGCAAATCACAAAAGCAGTCGGTATATAACAACCAAAACTTAGAAGTAAACAAACATCAGTAAAAATATTTTATATTTAAAAACCAGATGGAAATCACAAGAAGAAAGTTAAAAGCTATTGACCCCGGGAAATATAATTTTATAGCCAGTCGGGGAATGCACTGGTTTTTATTAGCATCACATTTTGCATTGTTTGATTTGTTTAAAACCTTATGAATTTATAAACTTACTAAAACTTTCTCTTAGTTACTTTCCTCATTTCTGAGACACAATACCCAACAACTGCAAATTAAAGAAGGAAAGGTTTATTTTGGCTCAGTGGCTCCAAGGCAGAGGGACCGTGGTAGAGGAATATCTGCTCGTGTCCTGGTGCCCAGGAAGCAGAGAGTGAAGGGAGGAGCTGGGATAAAACATCTCTCCCTTCTGCGTCACACCCACACCTCACACAAAGCTTCAGGAGGACATCCTGATATAAACCATAGCAAACGTATACATGAGTTGCTGAGAAATCAAATCGCTCATATTTATAAAACCAGATTCTACTTGATGTATTAAGTATTCTGTGCTAAAAAATAAATACTTCATGTTCATATATTACAAATTCATACAAATGCAATCAGTGAATATGTAAACAATCACACATTAGAAGCGCTACCTTCGTATGTTAATAGAACCCTTACTGTAATCTCTGCATCTGCGTGGGGCGATACTCTTCTGCCTTCCATGTACATAGTGTAAACAGAACAGATGGCTGTGACTCAGCTTCTTCACAAGAAAATAACGGGGTTTTCCTACACTAAAAACCTGTAAGCTATTTTTTAAAATAGATAGATTTCCATTACTCCGGAATGAAATACTGAAAATGATCATTACAGCAATGTTACATGACTATCTATCCAGTAACGGTTATATATTTCATGATATTTGGAAAATAACCACTTTTATGTCAGCAAGCTGAGTCATCTATTGAATATCAGTGCAACTGAGAGCCTCGCGTTGGCCGTTCACCCCACAAGGACAAACTTTCGCAAGCCTCTTCAACGCATCTGCCAGTCACCAAACACAGACTGGCAGAAATCTCTCCGTTGTATAGAAAATTAATTTCTTCCAAATGGATCCTGTGGGTTTTCACGCTGTCATTTTGTAAATGTTAGAATAGCATGGCTGAAAATAATAGGAAATCTAAAAACAATATCAAGCAAGCCACAATAAACTGATTTAAACAATGAGACAATATACGGTTCACACACAGAAAGCCTGAAGATTACAAACTCTCACGATGAATTTCCTGACTCTCCTCTGTATCTTGCGGTGCTGTTAGGACCACACACTTCTCGGTCTCATCTTCTCATTCAGGACTGTGCAAGACTGTGGCATCAGCTTTGAACCTCGTATCTCTAAAGCGAGAGGGAGGGAAGAGCGCACTTTCACAGCAATTAAGCTTTTAGACGCCTAGCACTGTGCGTTTCTGACGCTTTGACATTTAAGGGCCTTAAGAGACAGGCTGCATCTCCCAAGGTTGCTGATTCCTACAGATAGGAAAAGATTCTCTTGCTAGTGCGTCTTTGATATGCAAAGCAACCGGTCCACAGCCCAAACCTACAAGCACCGCTGGACCTCTACCCGCAGCCCTAATCACCCAAGGGCCAGGCATCAGCTGCTATTGCCTGGCGTCTGTGGACATCAATCAAACTTGCCAATCTTAAATGTAGTTACTCTGCCTTGTCCTTTGCTTTCCCCGGCAGCATTTCCCTTCGTTCCCTCTACCTCTTGGCCAACGCTGGTCCTTCTCCACGTGATCTCCCTTAGCGCATGCTCACTTCTTTTTTTTATTAGTACATTTTTGTACTACATACCGCTTACATTCCTGTGTGGAGTCGGTACATGTACACAACACACCTTGATTCCTTTTTTCATCCCTTTTCCCTTCCCTCCCTGCTTCCAATATCCTTTCAATGGCAGACTTTGACCTATTAGCCTTCCCATACCTAAATAATAACTAAATCTATATTTTATAACCCTCTACCTGCCCTAATTGTTGGAATTAGACCACCTATCTACACCTGAACAAGCCAATCACTGCCAAATAGGAGAGAATGACAGTTAGATAGCGTTTTTCCACACTTGTGCAAAAGGCATTCTTGGGTGTCACAGTAAATTTGTAAGAGCCCTAGGGTGCTAAAGAAACTGTGAGCACAAGGAATCTCACAATTTCAGGGTTAGATCTCACTGCTTTCCTTCCAATGAAGTCCCACCATTGAGATGCTGAATTCTCGGGAGTTTCTGTGATTAAAATAAACCAAGTATTACACGACAATGAGGTCAAGATAGTAAGAAGGGCCATGTGCAGTGTAAGCCCAGCTTTCAGAAGTCCTTATTGAAATTGTTCTGCATTTCTTGTGATCTAGAGATATCCTGAAAAAATTATGTAGATATCAGGGGCACAGAGAACCAAGACATTTGAGGATCACTGACTTAAATGAGAATAAGGCAGGTTTGCAGGGCTGGGGATTTAGCTCAGTGGCACAGCGCCTGCCTGGCAAATGCAAGGTCATGAGTTCGATTCCCGGTGCCGGGGGGAGGGGGGGAGGAGTAAAGTCAGGTTTGCTAGGGGTGAGAGGTCAGCTCCTCTGAGGAGCATGGCTTCCCAGTGTTCATGGAGTTATGAGTTCCTGGTGGGTATTTGAAGAGAAGCGTGGCTGTCTGGGTAAGAAAGATCAAAGAAATGCCTACAGAAGCACCCTCCCGGAGAAATCACTGTTATTTCTCTTCAAATAATCAGGTCCTGCAAACTTTTCTGTGGGTCAAAAATATATCAGCCTCCTTTTATTATGTCAATTATATGTAGATAATTTATGCTACCTCTAATTCCAACAATAATCCCCAGAAGTAGATATTGTTAACATTTTCCGAGTAAGTAATCCAAGCCTGTAATTCATTTAGTTAGTAAATGTTGAAGCAAGTCTGACTGGCTCCATATGACTTAATGCCTTCCCATCTTAATTTTTACATTTCTGAGGTTTTGCTGCATGTCTCACCAGTTCTTCTGTGAAATGCTCTCTCGACTATGTGACACCAAACTCTTCTGATTAGTTCTCTTTTTTCTTTCCTTTTTTTTTTTTTGTACTGGGAATCAAACTCAGGACCTTGTGCTTGCCAGGCAGGTGCTGTGCTGCTGAGCTATATCCCTGGCCCGCTTCTGATTGATTCTCAGAGACTCTTTTATACTTTCAATTTTTATCTATTGTATTAAAATGTCTAAGTAGTCTATTTTTATAGTCCTTTCAGGCCCCACTCCAAAACAAGGTTTTTCTTGAAATTCTTCGCTCAGCCTTTTGCACTCAGAATTTCTTCAGATTTGTATGTGATTCTCCTATCTTTAAATCATATGCCATGAAATCTCATAGTCTGATTGGATATCCCCCATTGGATGCCTCACTTTTGCAGATCAGATGTTATGGTGTCAACTTGAGAAGTTTAAAAGTTTAACTCAGCAGTTCTACATCCCAGGGTGTAGAGGACATGCCCTGGGGTGGCTTACACTCTAGGATATTACAATGGTTGACTCCTTGTGTCCATCTGAGAAGCTTAGAAACTTAACCAAGTGACTTATCAGAGGGTCAGGGCCCTCACATGGTGCACATCTTCATCCTGTGCAAGAGGGCGTGGAGATGATGTGAGTATTATACCCACCCTAACAGTATAAGGGAGCAAGAGAGGTTTGCTTCCCCTTTTTGCTGTTGTAGTTTTTGCTGTCTTCTGCCACCGTGAACTGTTAGCCTTGTGCCATACCACCCTGCCTTGGAAAGCCAGCTGATTATGAACTGAAACCTCCACAAACTGTGAGCTAAGTAAACCTTTCCTTCCTTAACACTGGACATTAGGTATTTTGTCCTGGCAATGAGAAAAATAACTAAAACGCCAGAATTCCTGGGTCTAAGCTGAGCTCATTACCTTCCTTCCCAAATCAGCATTAGTCTCCCAGTTCCAGTAACAGTAATGCTTTGCCATCATCTAGATTTGAAACCTGGCAACTGCAGACCATGCCCTCCTATGTTTTTACTTCAGTAAACTACAAATTTCTTATGTCTCCCTTTGTGAGCATCTTTTTATGTTTCCTTCTTTATAGTTTTTATCTTTACCTTTAATTTCACTGTAAATCATAGGTTATTTAATGAACGTTTGTTTAAATATTTCTTTTTTACTATTAAAAGAGAAAAGGTTAACCACATACTACTACTTCTGGGACTCATAACAACCAAGTGCAATAGCGCCATGATTCCCAACATAGGTAATAATTCCTATACTAGTTTTATCAGAGACCACGTGAAGCACATTTTAATTTCCTTAGAAAGTAAACTTTTTACAGATGATTAAAACAGATGATCTAGTTTTATATAGTGCTCAATTTCAACTGTTGAAAAAGTGAGAGAATCAATTTATAACTTTTTTTCTGTTAAAGTTCTCAATTTTTTGGATTACTACCTTCTATTATTATTCTCTGCTTCTCTTTCCAATATTACTTTAATAAATATTGGTGCAGTTTTCCACATATGATTTGAACTCATGTGTGGAAAAAGTTTAGTGAGTCTATCTCTTCTTAAATTATTAATGTGGTCTTTTATCAGAATAGTTTTCTGCATTATATTCTTGTTTTTTAACTATCAGCATTTTAAGATTTTCTCAGTGTTTAAACATCTACTAGATTATTTTCTTACCAAAGCAGAAATTTGCTTCTCATAGCTTTCTTTCGCTAGATGAAGAGATTCTAGGCACACCACTACAAAATAGAGTGGATCACCTCATTTTTATAAATCTCCCACTGTGTACTTCTTTCTGGGTACATCTTAGTAGAGTCTCCCCTGCCGTGGAAAAACAACAGCAGTTCTGGCTTCTACATTGTATACAAAAATAAAAGTGTGAAGGGCGATAGGGAAGAGGTAGATAGAGCTGAGATCGTGAAGGTCTCCTAGACCATGGTACTGAGTTTCGATTTTACAGCATAGGAAGTGAGAAAGCCGCTAAGGGCCGTGATCAGGGACACTCCTTGAAAATCTCCCCTGGATTCTGTGTGATCGGAAATAGGAAGGGAGCAGGATGAGAAAATAAGACTAATTTAGAGGTGTCTAGTAGAGTCAAAAGGGCAGGTCATGGGGTAATGGGTCAGGGGATGGCATTGGACCTGCAGAAACGTGTATCTACCAAAGGTATAAGCTTCACACGCCTGCTGGTGGGTTGGGTGTGGTGAGGGAGGGGAAGAGAGAAATCAGTTATAGAGTCAGACCCCAGAGCCCAGTATCTTAACTTCTACACCCCTTGGCTGTAAGTTATTTACTAATAACAAACTTAGTATTCAAGATGTATTTATTGAGTAACTACCACGTGCCCTTAGGATATTCACAACCTGCTGGATGGTAATGAATGGTATGCAGAAAATTAAAAGATGGCAAGGAAAATAGGAGGGCCTGGATTTGTGGTGGGTGTTGCTTTACATATAAAATAAGCAGGGTTAGCCGCTCTGCTTCCTAATAGAAGGTGACATCTGAGCAAAGAGATGAAGGAAATGAAAGAATCATCTGTGCCTCTCTCTGCTAGTAGAATTGTCACAGACAAAGAGAACAGTAAATTCAAAGACCTGGGATGGAAGTATGCTTAGCATGTTTAAATATTGTTTAAGGTTAGCAAGGAAGGCAATGACGTTGAGGTAGAATAAGACAGGAAATAGTAGAGTGAAGCCAAAAGGATATTGACTCATTAGAGAAGTATAGCTACTCCTTAAAGACATCTGACTAGATAAAGTGCATGTGGGGGCAGTTGTGAAAAGGAAAACTTAGACTTGAAGTATTTATGATTCAGAAGTAAGACAAAGGAAGAGAAAGATGCAAAGAACACTCAGAAGTAAAGGTTACCCAAGCAAGAGAAAAACCAGAAGTGTGTGATCTCAGAAAAGCTACCAGCAGAGAGTATTTTAAGGACATGGTAAACTGAAGCTGCTAAATCAAACCATGTGTGGACTGAGTTAGGTCCACTGGATTTGGCAATACAGAGGTTGTTGATGACCTTGAAGGGTAGTTTCATTGGAACAGTAGGACTGGATGCATTGTGTTAATCGTCAAACTAGAGCCCTTTCCTTGCTTTACCATTCGTAATTTCACACACCTTTGACAGCCTGCTAATTTGAGCCAGCTTTTGTTGTTTTGAAAGTGGGGATTAAAAATTTCCCTGTTTCAAATCTGTGATGACTCAGTCAGTGTGCATAAAACACTAGATCGCATCCTGACTTCGCCCTAACAGAGCTTCTGCTTGCTTCCAAGGCCAATTCTCACCTTGTTCTAGACAGAAGTAGTAGGGATGCTTTAAAGGAGTGAAAAATATGATGGTATAAGATGAAGGATGCAGTAATACCAGAGAATTATTATTCACCAGAAATCTCTCCAGACTGTACCTCTGAGGAAGGAACAATAAAGTATCCTGTGGGATGAAGTTCTGACCTCAAATCTCAGAGAAGAAT